GTTCTGGAACAGTGTTGTAAATACAACTTAACCACTGATTTCTAGTCGTGTCCTCTTTTGGAAGGCCAAACAAAGTAGTTTCGCTTTCACAACGAAACACACAGCATCACATACGGCGGGCTAGAGTGAGGAACGGCGCGGCTGGAGGATTCGACGAAGGAGCGGCCTGCGGGCTTGCGGCAACCACATGTGACAACCCCATGAATGTTGAATGATGAATGTTTGCTGACGGCAAATGAGAAAGTATTATAATGTTTGCCTTTCTATTACTAATAATATAAAAGCAATCGTTATAATACTTTTTGTGCACATTTTAATTCCTTTGTTTAAAGTTCTATCGGATTATTAGACAGACTTCTATCCGTATTAGACAGAGCTGTTAACGACGACGACGGCGAACAAGAGGGAGAATGTGAGCACTGTGTGCTGCTCAGGTGCTGCCGTTCTCAGTGCCGTCAAAATAAAAGTCCCGCCTCGAAAGCATCGTCCAAAAAGAAAATCTTATCGGCCGATGCCGATATTTGAAAAATGCCAAATATCGGCCGACCACTAGATAGGATACAGCCATAAAACCAGTGAAAATTCAATACTTTCCTCTCCTGATTTGATTTGAACAAACTTGAAGTTATGACCTGATTATAGACCTGACATTATGTCAAATGTCTATAGACTTCATTACTGACCTTATCACTGTGCTCCATGAATTCTGCAAGATTAAGCAGTGTCTGTGTGACCTCAGCGATATCCTGAGAAGTCAGAGCAAGCTCAATACTGCGTATCAGTTCATCCTGCTGATCTTCACTGAGCTCTGACCAGCATGATAAGAATGCAGCATTAAAAAGATCCCTACAGAGAAGAGAGAACATACACACAGGCTTCAATCATTTTGCATGGTTATGTCTGTTAATTTTCTTTTTCTGTTTAATTTTCTTTTCTTTTGTTGTTTGACTAATATTAAGGACACAGGTAGTAGCAGGTATATAGGATGTTGTCACTTTAAGATCTAATGCATGGATCCAATACAATGATACACATTTGATATTCTCCCAACTGTTGTCAACTGACTGCGTTTACGTGAACACTTGCCAAAACGGACAAATTAACATTTTCGTTTTGTTTTTATTTGTTAAAAGGTTTTTGTCATAGTTTTTGCCATTCAAAACAGTTTTTTTGTTGTTGTTGATGTTGTTCCTGTCTGTGAAAAATGTCTCTGATGAAAACTATGACGAAAATTATTTGTCAACGAAATTAACACTGGTCCAAGTTCTTGGCCAATGCAGGCTTCAATGTAAAACAGACTTTAATCAGACATCAAATCCTCTTACAAGGTTTTTGCTAGTTATATTAAAATTATTTCTTTTCTAATATTTTTTGGGCTTTCTGACTTTTTAAATTTTTGTGTTTCTTAATGTTAATTCAAAGTTTATGAAATTTGGTTTAAACTTGGAGATGGTTAGCCTGGTTCATGTCTTTGAATTTTTTATTGGAAAAATTCTTTGGAGAAATTTACTGGGAACATACTCTCAGAATTAAGGGTACTGAAAATGTGGGCAATCACTGACACATCTCTATTAAACTGATGGGTTTCTGAAATGACACTTCAACAGAGAAACAGAGGCAGAGGAGGTAAAGTTTACCTAGCGAGTGGTATATACGTCTGCGCCAGAGACCAGCAGGAGCGCAGGGCAGGTGAAGATGATTCTTTTAGCAAGACCACACTAAGACGTCTTAACCACTCCAGCCAGTCATCTTTGGAGACCTTCCTGGCTGCACCCCATGCCTGCAATCAGCAGAAACAGGACTAGTAAACAGACAAAAAGAGGCATGTGAGATCGGTTTAAGTAAGCTCGCCGTCTACTACACAAAGAGCTGTCATAACTGATTTCAATAATAGATGTTAGTATGCTAAGCTAATGGCATATATATATATATATATATATATATATATATAAACTAAAATTAACATTAAGACACCTTTGTGTGTTTTATTTCAAAAAGGAAGACAAAAGCCATAACACTCAAGGCCGTCGAGTCCACTCGTGAATGAATGTTCAATATTTGGGGAACAGATAATTGAATGATGAAGGCAATGTTGGAGAAAAGAGTGGAAAGACCTCTCAGGCAACACCTGTGAATCATTAATGACATCTTCACAAATCACAGAGAACAGACAACCCCTTCAGCAGTGTGCCCACAGGACACGTGAATATAATCTCTGTCTGAACAGGATGATCTAGTGTGGTGGTGAAGACAGATGCAGCTATGGCTCAAATCAAACAAAACAGAAAAACAGGAGATCAAGGAATATTCTGGGAGTTATTCTGGAAGTTTCTCATTTTTTCGAACTTAGGAACAATTCGAAACTCTTTTTATAAACAGTGAGATTTTATTTAAACATTTCAAGATGTGATAAATGAGCTCATTCGACCATTACACCACACACAACACCATTTTTTTATTTTTAAAAAAGAAGAAAAAATATATATATATTGTGGATGGAGATATCATAAACTAGGTGTTATATACTGATTTGCAAACGTGGAGCTGAAGCTGATTTTTTTTTGGGATCGGGATGTCTAATATTAATAGAAAGATCGGTCTGCTTCAATATCTACATACTTGTGTGGGCATTCCTTTAATACTAAACTATTATTGGCACATGCAAATGTTAACCACAAACCCTCCAACATGTGAGTGTGAAGTTATGAAGGATACACGTCATTCTACAAACCTTCTGAAGAGCAGTTGTGCTGACGTGCAGTTTCTTCATAGGTCCCGATTCGACCGGGCCACTAGCCAGAGTGTCACTTTGATTACCACGTAATTGTCTATGCTGAAATATCAGAGGGTCCTCTTCCTCTTCTGCCAAAGTATAGCCCTAAAAAAGAGACACACAGGTTAACAAAGACAACACACACACACACACACACACACACACACTCTCTCTCTCTCTCTCTCTCACACACACACACACACACACTTCATCAATTCTTGTTCTCAGCTTGAAAAAACATGCAGGCACTTGAAAAAGGGCTCCAAAATATGCCAATACTTTCCACAGATAGGAGACATAAATAAGTCAAAGTTTGTTTTTTTTTTTAACAAAAAGTCTTTTGTATGCACAGTGTAGACCACTGGAAAAAAGAGTTGCAAGTAGGCTGACTGCAAATTTAGCCTGAATTAAGTAGTTTTTTGCATCTCCTTTGGGACCAAATGTTAGTTTGTTGATAAACATGCTTACAATAAATTAAAGAAAAAAAATTTGTTTGGTAATTTTTTAAAATAATTTTAATGACAGGTTGTTAAAGAGGTCATATGATGCGTTTGCACATTTTCCTTTTACTTTAGTGTGTTTTGTAGCTGTTTGTGCATGTATAAGATCTGCAAAGTTACAAAGCTCATTCCTTTTGTCTCCCACAAAAGGAATTTTTCTATCTAAAAGAGAAGGCTGATCCAGACCGGCCGAAAACGCCTCGATTGAATTCTCCCTCACATATCTACGTTACTATGTGGAAATATTTGCATAATACCACCCAAATGGATACGCAAAGCAAGAAGGCGTGGCTTCAGGTATCACAGTATTGTTGTTGCCGCCATGCCGTGGAGACGTTTTGTGTTTCTACGCAGAAGCAAAAGCACTTTTTTTGGCCTTCCAAAAGTGGACGCAATTAGGAGTCAGCAGTTTCCTGAACCTGGGAGAGCACAAGGCCGGCTGTGCAGAAAGGCTGTTTCTAAAAAATGGAGCAATTGCAACTTTGTTCGGACAATCTGGCGCTTCTGAATCAGAACGCATAAGTATGTTTTATAATTTGCTATTGACTGTTCAAATGCATAGTTCGGTGAAGTGTAGAATAATGCATATTGTTTGTCGTTCTTACTATCACAAGTGCAGACAGAGATGGATTTATGTTTACAAACGTCGTATCCTCTGTTCTCTGAATATAACTGGCGGCACAAAGACGATTCATTACGTGTTCTGCTTCACACAGGACGCTCAAGTAGAGCCCGTTGTGATATAGTAAAACTGACGACATTATTAACTGTTCTTATAATTGCTTCAGAAGCTAAAGCTCACGATTATGGTAAGGGGCGTTACATTTCCGACACACGCTTAAGATGTTCGGCCAATCACATTGCACTGGGTCAGATGGCCAATCAAGAGCACACTGCGCTTTTCGAAGGAGGGGCTTTGTAGAAATCGATGCATTTTAGAAACATTGTGCATAGAGGATCTGCAATAATGAACAGTACGTGAAAAATTATGCACTTTTTGAACATTAAAGCATGCTAACATATTCTATTACACCCAATACACAAAATAATGAGCTTTGAAAATAGCATCATATGACCCCTTTAAAGGGGTAGTTGATTGCGATTTCACTTTTTTAACGTTAGGTAGTGTGTAATGTTGCTGTTTGAGCATAAACAATATCTGCAAAGTTACGAAGCTGAAAGTTCAATGCAAACGGAGATATCGTCTTTTAAAATTCTGGCAGTTTAATGCCTACAGAAACGGCTCGTAAGGACTACAACAAGTTACTTCCCGGGTTCGTGACATCACAAACCCAGATAAACCCCGCCCTCGGGAAAAGGCAGCAAAGG